TGCAGCTTTTCCACATTTCCCCATGCACGGGAAGGGCAGCGGAACCGGCCCCGGTGCCCGCGGAGGATCAAACCCAGCTCTGCCCCGGGGATGGGGATGGGTTTGACACCACCGGGATCCCCATCGGGCAGGGAGCAGCCCCCAGGCCTCAAAATGGGGGAAATTCCTGCGGAATGAGGATGAGCGGCAGGTCCTGCTTAACGCCCCAAGCGCCCCAGGGGCTGCAGGATCCCGGGGGTCGGAGCGGCCTCGGCGCTCCGGAGCGCTGCAGAGCGCAGGGATGAGCCGAGCACACGGACGGGTCCTGCCGGGAAGCCGCGTTACCTTCAGGTCCGTGTTGAGGATCCAGATGAACGTGCAGACCCGGGGGTTGCTCGGGCACTTGAGCACGATGAAGCCTCCGGGGCCGTTCTCACCCCTGGGGACAAAGAGAGGCAGCCAGTGCAGCCGGGGCTGCTGGAAAAGCAATTCCGCAGCCCGGATCCTGATCCCGGATCCTGATTCCGCAGCCCGGATCCCGAATCTACAGCCCGGATCCCGATCCCACAGCCCGGCAGCGAGGCCTGGAGCGCGGCGGGATGGGGATGGACGCGCGGAGCGTTGGGAAGCCGCCTGCTCCCGCTGCGGATGCTCCCACATGGGTTGCCCACAGGCACGAAGCAGCCTCCGAACTGCGTCCTACCCATTCCCGGTAGGAATTCCGGGTCGGAATGGGTGCAAACAAGCAGCTCCCGGGAATGCCAAGTGCCCAGGGAAAGCTCTGGCATCGGGACTCAGCGTGGAGAGCCTTGTCCTCACATCCCCCAGATCCCTCCTGGCACCATCTGATGCGTCGCAGAGACAAAAGCTCTGCTCACACGCAGCCCAAATACAGATTTCCCTTCCCTGTTCAGGAACACACAACTATTTTTCGCTGCCTACATTTGCAAAAAGCTTTTCTGGCCCCTGAAGTCCCCAGCTCCTAAATAGACTGAGGCAGCTAGAACGGCTCTGAGTTAAAATGTCAATTACTTTAACCAGATTATCAGGAAAAACAAAGTCAGTGGGAGAAGAGGCGCAGCTGAGCCCCAGGCACCGGAGCAGACAGGAACAAGGAGCCCTTGTTTGATGGGATTGCTGAGATCCATGCCCAGCCGGCTGTCCCTTTGGAAGGGCAGAGGCCTCACGGTGTTTTGGGAGTCTGTCCCTCTTAAACGTTGCCTGTTTCGCCCACAGGAGCAGCTCTCGATGTCCTCAGCCTTTAAAATCAGAAAGTGACTGGCTTACGAGAAGCAAAAGGCATCCGAGAGGCTCCGAGAAAGACACAGGCAGCTGTTTCCTGCCCCTCAGGAACGGCCCTGCTCGGGATTTAACCGTTACATAAACAGGATGCGGATCGGGGCAGGGTTTGTGCTGTTATTGGTTGGCACCTCCGCTCCCCGGAGCCGGGAAACGCCCGAGCGACACTCGGAGTTGCTCTAACAAAGGGAGAAGAACAAGGGAAGCGAGGTTTGGATCCACAAATAGCTCAGCTTCCTCCACACGGTGCCACGAAGACGGCAGCGCGTTCGTTTAAGAGGCTCTTTGCCCTACGCTTGAGCAAAGCAAGTGAAATAGCAGCTGAAAAAAACAGCAGCCACCTCTTACCTGACGTATTTGGAGAGCGGAGGCTTCAGGCTGTGCGTGGTCGATATCCCTGAGGAAATGTACCTGTCCCTCCTCCTCTCGATGCGCCGCACGTTCACGAAGTCCCTAAGCAAAGGGAGAGCGCGGAGCGCGTCGGGAAGCGCGCGGGATGGACGGAGCGGCCGGGAAAGGCCGTGGTGACCGGGCAATGCCGAGGGCAGCGCCGCCGTCTCGGAGCCGGCACATTCCCAGACTCCCAGAAACTTCCAGAGGTCACTCTGGGGGCTCGTGGCCTTCGGGAGCGTCCCCCGCATCCCATACGTGTCCCAGGGGTGGCACCTCGGGGACAGGGCACCCCGACCACGCCGGGACGCCGCTCCGTGTTTTGGGATGGTGCCCGAGGGCTCGTGCAAACGGGGATCGGGATGGACTGACCTGGGGGAGACGACGCCGCCCGCGGTCCCGGCTGCCACGGCGT